AAGATGTAGGTGCGACATTGTGAGTGCCCGCCTCTCTCGCTCAACGCTCTTACTTACTCTATTGGAATGAGAGGTGCATGAACGAGCAACACACAATGGTTGGGAGTCTCCAGCTACTTTTCAAGCACCTCATATCGCAGATATTACTTTGATACGCAATACAGTTATACCGGAAAGATAAAATACAGAAAAAATTGAAGTGATTCTCCACAGACCTCGAGGTCCTTCTCAGGCAAATCAGCCATAGAGTCCGCGTTCCTTAATGCCGTCCGTCTTCTTTGATGTATTAATCCGGCGAATGCGCAGTCGTGTGAGGCGTCTGATTCCGCACGTGCGTCGTCGATTCGAGAAGTGAAACGTGCTGCGTCTGCGGAGGTTCGCGAGGAGCTTGACCAATCCCTAATCACGTGAAGAATTCAAGAATTCTTGACGCAGGCTCACTCTTAACGATGATAAAAACTCTACGTATATGGGTATTCGTGATATGGAAAGATGGGGTCGTATTTGTTCAAGGAGACATTTCTAGTTGTTTGAATCGTTACCTGCTCGTTTGCGAGCGCAGCTTTTTTCAATGCCGCGGCGGGGCTCAATAGGGGCGGTTTTAAAAGCGAAGGAACGGAACCACTCGCGGCGTTTCCACCTCTCCCCACCCCTTCCCTGGTTTGACACCGTCGTAAAAGTACTATGTAACTGCTGTTCCTGATGGCCAATATCAGTAATTGACTAGAGAAGGCAATACATCCCCCTCTCTCTGTTCAGCGTTCAGTTTCTTGGGAAAAGTAGCGCATTTCTCGGATAATAGCGCGGGAAAGTGGTATGAAGTTCGGAATATTTGAGAGGATGGTAGGTACGATGGCGAAGAGGAAAGGGGTACCAGAAGGGTGAAATTTTTTGGGTGGGAAGAAATATCGTATTTTGCAAAAACTTTCTTCAACGACTGGACGTGCCTTTAAGCTCCTCGTGGACGAAGTCCTTCCTTGATGTATCCATGTTCGGTCTTCCCTTCTTCTGGTCCTTGATGGTTAGGTCACACGGGTCACACAGGCAAGAGAACCGTAATTCGCCGCGCCATGGGCGCCGCGTGCGACGTCGCGACTGCTAATGACGACGATTTCAGGTGGTACTGGCCGAAAATAGGCAATGTATGACCAAGAATGTGGTGTCTACCGTGTCCTCCTTGACTACTGAAATCCGATGTTCCAATCGAAATTAAAATTAAGGAAAGGTTGCGCCCATTGCCGCGCGCGAGAAAGCGGCAATTTACGATTCTCCTGCCCGTCTCCCAGGTCGCACCCCTCTACTATCACTTTCAACCCCCTAGCCTGAACAGCAACAAACCCAAGCCGACAGCAAGCTTCTTTGTCCATCATTGATGAGCTGTTTCCCTCAACTATTTGAATGTTAACTAACCAATCATCTGCCCAGCCAGTTAGTTATCTGAAAGAAAAAAAGTAAAGAGAGTGTAGAGACATAAAATCCTAAGCTAAGTAATGAATGCGCCGCAACGATGCTGGTGAAGGCTCGAAGGGGTTGATGTAATAGGATCAGAGCATATGTGGGACAGATGATGTTGGAAGTCATGAGGATACAATAATCATAAAATTTTTACGAGTTGCCATTTTTCCATTGTAATGAGAGGAAAATCCACTAGAGGAATTTGGTGTCCTGATCTTTGGTAATCTTCCCTTCTGAATGGAATGGTTAGCGTACTCGCCCGGAAGGCGCAGGAAAAATCACGCAAAAAGTCAACAACCGGACCAACGCGACAAATTTTTCTTAAAGGCACATACGACCCTCCCCCCTCTCCCAACGACCAAATACGACCCCCCCCCCGCAGGGTGCGGGTTCGATTACCGCCTAGAGTCAAGATTCTTGCCCATGACTCAGTGTTCTCGTAATCATCTCTTCCTTCTAGCGACCTGTGTGAAGCAGGTAACTTGGCACGCCCTGTCGCTCGAGAATTTTTGCGAAATACGACCCCTCCTCAGAATTCCCTCCACTGTCAGATCCCTCATCCCTTCCTCGTGACCCCTCCTACCTAACATCTTCCTTATGTACTCCCAGCTTCCTTGTTCCCACCATGGAGAACTTGAGAACTTCGAAACTCTCTAGCTTTTCCCCGAAAACATTTTACTTGAAAGCAACTAACACGTAAAACTCTTGGCGTAGCGCTGAGAGGTGCAGACTTCATCTGGTCAGAATTCGCACAGAACAAACCTTTTTCGTGGTAGCAAACACTGCTTCAAGGTCGTCCAGGCTTCCAATGCTGCCTGAGACGGATCCTTCTTCGGAGATGTCGGACAGAATACGATTGGCGATTTCCTCTTGGATGTCACGATGTTCACCGCGAATCATCCGTAATGGTACCTGAACCTCTCATGTCAGCATCACACTATGAAGTTTGTGGCGGCTTGCACTATGTCTTGGCCAGCTATTTATGGGCATTAGTATTATGCATGTATTGATGCTTTGTTAGATTACTATTATATTCATAATACTTATTACAATTTCTTAAAACCACTATAATTGCTAGTCAATAATCGAGAAGGGGGGGCCGCCAGCCCCCGCCGCGCACCCTCAGGGCAGAGCATCAACAAAAAAAAAGCGAAGACGGACTGTAATCTGGAACTAAGGGAAGGGAGTTACGATAAACAGTGTTCGCCGCCGTGCAAGAGAAATTTTCCAAATGTTCCTTCTGAGATTTTCTCCCGTCTTCAACGTGCGCTACTCCTTTTGCCTCAGTTGGGCGGGCATCCAAACTACTGTAATGCATTATTTCTTTCATGCGCTATATCGTCAGCAGTTCTTTGAAGAAGTCGCCCTCTCCACCCCCTTCTTTGCTCGACGCCTCATATCGTTTGTGGAACGGAAGAATATTTAACGGAGCAACCGGGTTGGAAAACTGTGTAAGGTATAAGTTCACACCTATGGTTGTAGACGTAACCCAGCGTGTCACCAATCCCGATGCTCCTCATACCTTCTCCCCCCTCAATGGTGAAATTCGAGAAAATATCCGTTGCTAAGTTGGGGGAGAGGCATATAGAAAGAAAAAAAATTGAGGGGCGTTGTGTGCATCTGAAATTTTACTCAATTGGCGCTGTACCTTGTGGGAGGGGGGGGGTCAGACACTCAAAATAGTCAGCTAAAACCAAGATTATTGCTTGTCCATCGGATCGGAGCAGCCCTTCAACACCACCAGTGAATTGTTTTAAAAAGTAGTGTCAGCTTTTTAGGATATTTCAGCCTCTGCTTACTGTAGAATGTTCTCGAAGTTTCCAGCAGAGTGACATATGAGAGCCTAGCAGGTTTCTAGGATCAAAGGAATATCGAATCAGAAATTATATTCGAGGCGTCCCAGATTTCCTCTCGATACTTATTGTAGCAAAAATATTATCATTCATTTTGCAATTATTTTATGACAACGCTTGCCTACTAATGGACGAAAAAATGGATGAGGGATTATGGTCGAAAAAACAGATTAGATCATTTTTCACAAGTGATAGAGGGGCAGTAGAGCTATGGCAGAAGTCCTCTCGTTTGTACTTTTACAACCTTGTCCTGCCCTTTTCAAAAACTCTGCCGGAAAACTTAAAAAGAACGGGGGGAAATATTACAGCAAGATCTAGCGCTGTGCTCTGAAAGAGAGTCCGACTGTAGTAATGTAGGCGTAGAAAAACAAAAAGGCCAAGGTTAGTCGGTGAGCAGAACTGCCGGATCAGAAAAAATGTAGCGATTTGGATTCTGCACGACCTGAACCCCCCTACCTCACTAAGAACCGTAGAATGTCCTGATTTGGAAGCGAAGTCAACGGTGACCGGATGGTGGAGTTAGGTCCAACCTTGTGCGTTTCTCATCGGTGCTCCCTGCCATCGTATATTGTAGAGACCGGCACAAAAAGGGCACACTGGTAGACCTGACTCCGCCCATACGAGCAGCATGGACTACACCCACAAGGTTTCGAAAGAATTTTTTTTCTGAGTATAAGTGGCAGGAATAAGCAATGCTCAAAGTAAATAAGCAACCTAATATACAAATAAACAAATAAATAAAAGAAATGCCCACTTCAGAAAAGTCTTCCCATCATCTTCACGTGTCCGCTTCATTTCTTTCTTCGAAGGAGTTTCACCTTTGGCCTGTGGTACGAGTTTTTTCTTCTCCTGCGCGCTATAGTCAGGAGGTGGGCGAGTTGGTTCTT